AGGTAGTACCATTCCTTTTTGGTATCACCAGTGCCCTTCCTGGCACCCCTTTTTTTCTCAACATGGTGAGCTTGGGCACCTTTAGTGGTTGGTCAGTTGTAGCTGCTCCCCAAGTAGTACCACTTCGTTTTGGTATCACCGGTGCCCTTCCTAGCACTCCCTCTTTTTCAAATTGTGAGCTTGGCACCATTGTAGACAAGGGTCAAGAATGTGTGTACTTGGTGTTCCTAGGGTGAAGGGTTTGTGTGCGCACTGGCGATCCCAAAATGAGTGCTCCCAGGTAGTACCACTTCGTTTTGGCATCACGAATCACCAATGCCTTCCCAGCACCCCCCCAAGATGTGCTAGCTTAAAATGGGCAGAATTAGTAGTTGGTGGGTTGTAGCCCACGGTTCAGGCCCAGTGCATTTTGAACCTCATCGGTGGGAGGGTTTGCGTGCGCACTGGTGATCTCAAGATGAATGCTCTCCAGGCTTCGTTTTGGTATCACCAGTGCCCTTCCTAACACTCCCTTTTTTTCAACATTAGAGCTTGGGCACCACTAGTGGTTGGTCGGTTGTAAGCAAGGGTCAAGAATGTGTGTGTGTGTGTACTTGGTGTTCCTAGCTGGTGATGGTCAAATGAGTGCTCCCCAGGTAGTACCACTTCGTTTTGGTATCACCAGTGCCCTTCCTAGCACCCCCTGAGCTGCGTTTTTTTCTGTTAGCTTGGGCACCACAAGCAGTTTCAAGGTTGTAGGCAAGTCCCAAGGATGTGTTGGGTGTTCCTTGGTGCAACGTTTGCGCGCGCACTGGTGATTCCAAAATGAGTGCTCTCCAGGTAGTACCACGTCGTTTTCAAACCACCAGTACCTTTCCCAGCACCCCTTCACATGCGCATATTAGCTTGAAACGGGCACTGCTAAGAATTGGTCGGTTATAGGTACGAGTGTGTGTAGATTGGGGTTCCTCGGAGAAGGGTTTGTGTGCGCACTGGTGATCCCTTGGTATCACCAGGGCTCTTTCAACAAGCTGTGGCTCGATGACCTGTGTATTTTTAAATGCCCCCCAGCAAGCCCCCCAGCAAGGGACAAAATATCCGAGGGCCACACTATCAACTTTGTTTTCTTGTATTGTTTTTCCACTCATGAACGGTTGCGGATTACGGATTACACCGGTTTACAACACGGACGCAGGGTGTCAGGATTACGGATTAGTTTTGCGGTTTGCCGGTTGCCGGTTTCGATGTGAACAGTTTAGCAGTTCCTTGCTGGTGGCACAGCACCGTTTAGATTGAAGATAACAAAGTGTACAAAGTCACCCTTCCTTCAGTCGCGTCATTTGTTTGCAAGTGGCGCTTGGGAAATAGTCCACTTCCAGAACGGGCACCTTTTCCTTGGGTGGAACAAACTCTAAGAATACCAGGTGGCAATGTTCCTTTAATGAAGGATAATATGTTGATTTGCATCCCAGGCATCGAAAGTGGGCCAAAGAATACATATGAAACAAATTGAAACACTGAAGCAATCCGATTCTGATTGGTTTCCCGCAATCCCTAGTTTTTTTTTTCGCTCCACGGCGCTCAATAGGCTTTTGGTTTATAGATATAGTTATTTAATACATATATAATAATATATATATTATTATATATATATACACATAATTACAAATATAAATATGTATGTATATCAAAAAGACTAGTTTTTGTCCACTTAGTAACTTAGTACTGCAACATTTAGCCCGCCGCACAAAGCCCATCCAGTCGTATCGCAAACTTTGCAGCTGAGGTGTTGGGCACCGACAGTCTGTTCAAAGTTTGAACAGTTTTGTTGTGTCGCGGCGCGTCATCAGCGAGAACGGACTCAGTAAAATGCCACTGGGCCATTCAAAAAAGGCAACAATTAGATTTAATTCCGCAAAATAGATTGTGTTGAAAAGAGGGAAAGCTGGAAATATATAATATAAGTGCTAAATTTCATCTTTAACCTCCTGGAAACACGTTTCGGCATTTTTGGAGGGATAGCTATGGATAGTTTGCATCCACTCTTATTCATGCCTGGACAAGTAGTTCTGTTGTGGAGATTAAGCCCCCCTTGAGGGCCCGGTCCTGAGAATACCACCTTTCTGGGATTGAACATAGCATGTGCAAGGATCAAAAGACGCTATGAAGGGTTTTAAGATGCCTATCATTACTTCTCTCAAAACGTGTGATTTAATGTGTCGAGCGGGGTCCTTCTGAAGCGATACCTATTCTTATTGCATATATTGAAATATATTTGGGCGCATCAAGAGGTGGCTGGAAGCAGCTTTCGGGCGCCAATGCGCTATAGATCAGATCCATCGCGTGGAATTCACCAACAAGGGCTGCGATAGCCTCATCACAAAAAATACTGGTGAACCACAGGCGCATCATCATCACTTTATCCATGAACTGCCCCCAAGTAGACAGCGCATGAGCGCTGGGGAGCAGAAAACTGCCCCCGCAGCAGACCACAGCAAGGAGGCCGCAGCCCAGAAGGAGCCGCTGAAACCACAACCACCCCAAACCAAAAAGGGGGAAAAACAAACGGAACCAACCACCACCCGGAGCCAGCCACCCGAAGCACGGACGAAACCACGCTCCAGGCAGCCGAGCCACCAAAGGCACGAATGAAACCATCGCACCCCAGGTAACGAGTGAAGTGAGCAAATGAAGACCAATGGCCGCCGAAATGCCAAAAGGACAAAGCAACAAGCCAAACAACAAGCCAAGCCATCAAGCAGAAGGATGAGCGAGTTCCCACAACAAGCGCTGCACATAAACAAGCCAGTCTTGAACAGCAATGATGTTCGCTCTCTGATTAGTGATGACCCAACAAGAACGAGAAGAGAGGCCCTCTCGTTATAGGTTTCGGAGGCATGTCCAAATCAGGAGGTCGACAAGGACAACACTAGCAAATATGCTCCAACGTGCCAAGCTCACCGCAACCATTCCAGATGGAGGAAGTCGTCAACTCATCTGGCCCACGGCCACCACGGGCAGCAGGGGAGAAAAGGGCACCAACACAAACAGAACGAGCTTCCGCGCACGAAGCAGCCCAAGCACAGGTCGCAGCCCAATCGCTTCTCTTGAAGTAACCGGCATGGAAACAATCCAATGCAGAATCACAACGAGAAGATGTGACGGCGCAAGCACCAAGCACGCCAAGGGTCACGAACCATGTGCTGCCAATAACCATCTTGACCATGATGACCACCATCGTTCAAGTTCAAGATTCAACGTGTGACCAGTATCAGCATGAGCCCATTTCCACTCAGCATCAAAAGCCCAACCACGAGAACGGAGCCAAACATTCAAAGCACACGCGGGCGAACCGCCACGAGTGCACCAAGTCAAAGTCCGGTGCCGACGCAAACGCGCAAGAATGCCAACCTATAGCGAAGAGGATTTCAAATGATTCCAAATGCATGCCACTACCAAGCAAGGCAGCCCTAAGCCAAACAGAAGCAAGACGAAGACGGCGACATGCACTTGACTCCACAAATGGGTGCACAAGGTGAAAGGAGGCACACGGGCAATCCAACCACACATATATATATATATATATCATATATATCATATATATATATATATTATATATATAGGCAACTTTGGACACCGCAAATTGCCGACAATCTCATGTATCGCTCAAAAGGCAAGTGAACGCAAGATAACAAAGTCAGAGTCCGGTTACATCGTCAGCCCTACCAGCCTCTTTCCCAAGGAGGCCGCGTCTGGTAACCATGCTGCATGAGCCAAGAATTTCCACATCATTGCGAACCGCATCAGGCAAAACCCTCCGCAACGTGGCGCGCCGCGCAGGGGAGGACGCCACAGCCACAGTTTTGACCTGGTTCTCTTGCAGCCCAACCGACCAAGACCAGCTGGACCACTGATGGAACCTCTCATGAAGAGACCAAATGTGAGACGTCGCAAAAGAACGATCATCAACATACACACGCGTCAGTATATGAGGAGCAGGCCTGGAATGTCGTCGTTCAACCCAACCCAAAGCCACCCAAGCCACGCCCAAATAGTCATGATCACCGGGCCCATTGGATCGCCCTGCAGCATTGATCGGCCAGACAACGTCACCGGATGAGTATGCGACTGATAAATCACCCACCGTTTTTGCCGAGACCAAACGGCGGTAAATGACTGGCACGCTTACTTGTTAAGGCAACACCAGTAGCCGCTTCCAAACGCTCACCACACAAATGACACGTCCAAACCAAAGACTCAGGACCGCGGACAGCAGGAGCATTTGAGGAAGCCGCAGGTTCAACCTTCTCATGATAATGCAGCACAAGATGAACAAGCCGTTTACAATTCAAAGACAACGCAGTAGACGCAGAAACCTCCTTGAAACACAAAGGACATGCCCAAGACACACAAGCAACGTCAGACAAGCTAGAAGCATCTGCCAAATGACCCCCAGCAACCGCCTGCTCCGGGTCACTCATCTGGGGTGGATTTAGTAAGGTTCTTTGTGCTGATTGAAGGTGCTTCTGTGATGAAGTTATTGGCGTTGCTTTTATTTAGTGGGTGGTAATGTGGATTTAAAACTGAAGAATGGTGTTCCGGATGTTTACAAATCGATCAGTTATAACTAGAAAACAAATATGACTGATGCTAAGCGTCACTGTGCAAAGATCCGATGTGTATAGTAGGTGATTCTGGTGTTTTTGTTGTGGCACAGAGCCCCTCCCCGCTCTGCGCGGTGGCGCCCTCCACAAACTTTACAGCGGCGCCTCCCATAAATTTTAACAAAGGAGGCAACACCTCCTTGAAAACAGGCTTGTGCGCAGGAGACCTTGCAAGGCCTTCCTTATAATGTCTGTCGAGCTATGATCAATCAATAACTTTGGCGTTACAGGAGGTTTCGATATTAAGGGCGATGTCCTCCTTGAAAGTTTCCGGGTCGTTCTCGGGGCCACTGTGTTTGTGCGAAAGCGAGCAGCACCAAAGGACATTTGTTCAGCTCACATGCCTCGGTCTCGAACCTAACTAGCAGAAGAACTTTGGTGAAGTCGAAACTTCATATGCACCAACAAGTCGTCCAGGCAAGCGAAACAGCCTTCGAAATGCGGCGCCTGGGGCAGCAGGTCATGAGGCATGGCGTTGATGGCGCCCAAAAGAAAAGAAGCAGCGCTATCCAACTCACCAACCTTTCCTGCAAGCAAGTCGCGCGATGTCAAAGCTGGACATTTCTCGATCTTCTCTTGCATAGGCTGGATTTGTCCAGACCTGGTGTAAAGGTGAGCGGTCCATGTACAGTCTGTGGGCTCTGTGCCAGGGCGGTCCAGCGTCATCTGAAGGATGGTCAAAAACATGATGGCACAGGCAAGCGCACATGACCTGGTGCGGTCTTCCTTGAAGAAAGGCTGGCAAAAAATCAAAGCCTCACGAGCATTTTCCATTTCGAACGCGCTCTTCTCCTTGAGTGCTGGATCCCACCGCAAGAAGGCTTGGACGCCCAACTGCAAGTCAGCTCTGTTGAGGACACCTTGGGACAATCTCTTCTCACCTGCTGCTGCCATGTTGCAGGTTAGACTAGTTTTGTGAGCCAAAAGACCTGGGTCGAATGGGTCGATGTGATGGACAAAGCAAAACCGAGGTTGAATTGCATTGCGGCAATGTTCAGCACTGAATGTGCAAGCATTGTGGTAACCACGGCTAGCGCAGCTGACTCAAATGATTTTCAACAGGTCAAACTGGAAACATGCCGCCTATTCTTCAAAGAATGCCGTGTTGGGGCGGAGCTGCACAGCATCTTCACTCACTGCCTGCTCTTTGAAACGTCGGACATTCTCTGCATGTTTTGCCCAAACTCCACCATTCAGGCAAAGCGCCTGTGAAGACACCCCCGGGCTGCCAGAAGCCAAGTTGGCCATGAGTGCCGGGTCTTGGCTGCCATTAGCTTTCGGAGTCTTGGCGGCAGCCTTGGCAGCCTTGGCCTTGGGCTCAGCAGCTTCAGGCAACAGCTCCGCGCCTCTCTTCGCTGCTGACTTCTTGGGAGCCATGGCTACTACGCACCCACTCTGCAGAAACTCAGCCGTGGGAAGTAATAACTAAGTTGGAGGTACACTCACAGCTGGGCCAGGACTGCAAGGATCTTAAAATGTCTCCTGCTAAAATCAAGACGGTTGTACCATGCCATGCGTGTGACCCGTACTAAATTCGGGCCAACTGCAGCATTCAACGCGTATTTGACTGCCATGCTCGTGACCCGTACTAAATTCGGGCCCGCTGCAAGAGTCAACGCGTATTTGGCTGCCATGCTCATGACCCGTACTAAATTCGGGTCCTCTGGAGAGTTCAAAGACCAGGACTGCCATGTTAGCACATGGTCAACCGTGTAAGAACACGGCGGCCAAACGCGTATTTGCCTGCCGTGCTACCACCTGGCAGACCGTGCGCTAACATGGCGCAGCCTCCTTGATAAAGAAAGGAGGCTGCCATGTTAGCACATGGTAAACCGTGTACGAACACGGCGGCCAAACGCGTATTTGCCTGCCATGCTGTACATGGTGAACACGTGCAACACATGGCGGTCGAACTGCTTCCTGGAAATAGTAGGGAGAGGCCTTAGTAGCGATCTTTTTTAACTCAACTTGCTGCCCGCGGAAGGCAAACATAGACAACAGGAGACTGCATCGTCCACATCGGCTTGACAGTGACCCGGCTTGCTGTGAGAGATGACTGACTTCCATTCAGACATGGTTGGCGAGAAAAAATTCCTCAAGCGCTGGCGCTTTGCCACCGGCCATACTTTCAGCAGTGCGGTGAGCAGGCGAAGCAGCATGTTTGCGGAAACGAGCCACACGAATGTCACCACTGTTCACTTCATACCTTGCAAAGTGATGCCTGGAAACCGGAAACTTGGACATGGCTTCAGGACTCACTTCCTGAGCATCATGGCACAGTCGGCAGCCCAAGCCCCAACTGCCACTCTCCATATTCATTTTGGCGTCCAACCATGCTAATTCTTTCTGCCATACAGGCTTATATTTCACCCATGTGCATCGAGCACATTTTGCACCTGCAGAGCAAGCTTTCACATGTGCATCATCATCATAGCCGCCAAGCGAACAGTTGCCCAACTGCTCTGACATACTTGCTGATCCCTAGGTTTGAGCCGGTCAAGCAGAAAGGGAAATGTGTGCGGCTTGCAGCTAACAATAATAATGACTGATCAACTGATAGGAAAGCCTGCCAAGCTGGCTGCCGCCATGAAAGAAATTACTGAATGACACTCAGCCACCGTTCAAAGTGACCCCTTCACCCATTTTTTCCCCTCAGCCGCGTCCCCCCTGCGGCGATGAGACGTTGATACACTCCGGACAACGGTCAGATGCGACGTCCAAAAATGATCTTCAGCAAGTATCTGAATCTCAGTCTGGGAAATAGCAGCTTCAACAGCGCAGCTCTGCTCGGATCTTTTTGGCTAACTGGCGTGTCTCCGAGTTCTCAGCTGTCAGTGTTAAACATAGGGGTTTAGTTTAGTAACAAAACTTGAGCAAAACGAGTCGAAACTTCTGGCGGCAGTCAAGATGCGCTGTTCATCAAATAGCCATGCTTGTCTTTGAGCCCACCCTGCGGAGAAGCTGCTGTTGAACCATCTGGGCTGAGGTTGCTGCATCCTGCTTCCATGGCTTCTCAGAATTGCAAAACAAAGTCGACCTCTTTGGGCTCACCGGCATGAGGAGCTGGCCAAATCTTGTCGCTTGGCTCGTCTGACACATGGCTGAAAACATTGGTTGAGAAAACGCTGCTACTGACACAGGAGACCTAAGGAGCCTCCTTGCGTGACTTCCCCCTAGTAGCTGCTGGTGTTGACCAATTGTCCAGGAAACTATAGAAGCCTCTCTGCGCAATGAACGTGGCAAAAAAAAAGAAGAAGTTCACAAAACACTTTTCTCAGGAGTGTGTACCTCCTTGGCCAAGGAAGCTTATATGATGAATGTCAACGATCCTTGCTCAGGAGGGTGCACCTCCTTGGTCAGGACACTGATGGATAATGAAAACATGTCAATGATTGTTGCGTGCACCTCCTTGGTCCTGGTCAGGAGGTGTGATAATGAAAACTTGTGAATGAAATCCTTGCTCAGGAAGGTGTACCTCCTTGGCCAGGACAGGAAATCTGAATTCATTATGGAAACACTGGTAAATGATCTTTGCTCAGGAGGGTTTAGCCTTCGGCAAGGCATGTGACATATGAATTTACATGAGTCGATCATGGAAACAGTAACATCTAAACAAGACAAACATGTTTGAAGCAATACGTTTTCTCCAATATGTTAAATCAAGAGAGTTTTGGGCAACACATACATATCCCTGAATGACTTGTAACACATGTTAAAAACCAACACTATAACCATGTCTTAAAACATAGAAGCACCACCAATCAGCGCAAAGAACCTTACTAAATCCACCTTTGTCATCGCCCCCAAGGGGGCGGCAAAGAGACTTTTTTTGACATGAGTGCCAATTTCAGCACGGCTGGGGGAAACTGGCGGCAACCACGCATGCGAGGCAGCGATGCCATTCTCATAGGATACCGGAGTACTGGGAGGCAACCAAGCAGAGCGTTTGCTGACAGGTACCAGGAGGCAACCAACTTTTGTCGGGAAAGTCTTCCTCAGAGTTTCCAGCCCCATCCAACACAACTTGACACAAACGCCAGCAGTCATCCAAGTTATATATAAGCACTAACCCTCATCCAGCCCGATGGCAATCGGGTCCTCCTCCTTTTTGCTTGTGCCGAAAGTCATGGGAATAGCCCAGCTTCCATCGGCCTGTTTACGCACCACACAGGCGCACGAGCCGAAATAAGCGATACCGCCAGCGATGCCTTTGCCATACCCCAGCGATACCGATTAGCCCGTGACCGCAGGTAGACTCTCTCCTCCTTTCCTCTCTTCTTCCTCTTCCTTTCCTCTTCCTGGAGGGACACTACTCTTCTTACTTTCTTTCCTCTTTCTTGTCTCTTTCTTTTCTCTTTCTTTCCTCTTCCTTTCCTATTCCTTTGCTATGAGCTTGTGACACAGTGGCGTCGGCAGATGAAATGGGCAGGAAAGCAGTAATTCGTTGCAAGCAGTTTGTTTCGGGACTTGAAGAGACGTCAATGGATTGCATCCATGTGGAAAGCAAGCTTTGCCCCCCCATGATGAGGGATATGCACGCGTCCTTGCCATCCACCAGGATGGAGAGCTTTCCTAGCTTCCAACTCAGACCATTGACACAGCGGAGGAGTGACTATCAGAAGCAAGTTGGTTTCCAGCATGCAATGATTTGCCCGTGCCCGCGCTGTGTAGCTCTTTGACACTGACTTGCTGACACGTGCGCAGAACAACAGCAGGACAGTAGAGCAAGCAGGAGGACGGCAGTAAAAAAACATTGTACATGCTGTAGGTTTGGACAAGCCATGGCGCAGCAAAGTGCCTTTGATCCAAGAATGAGGTTCCCAGTGCCCATGTCAAACTCCAGTTTGCTGAAATCACGGATCGAAGTGGTTTTTCATTGTGCTATGCCATGCGCCGGTCCATGAATGCAGCAAAGGCTAACCCGAGCCGTTTGTCAAGGCCTCTTCCTTCAAAAACTGTGAACTTGCAGGTAGCACACGAGCCAAAGCTCCTACACCTTGCCCCCACCTTAGACGAATGCATGCTATGGGAGGGCTCCAGTTCTCAGGACATATCCACGGTTTCCGGGAATCAGCTTGTGATTAGCTACAGGGGCTGCCAAAAGGTAAAGCCACCTGCTTTTGGAGGCGTCAGTTGTGTAATGGCTGGCCTTGAAATTGTGAACGCTTTGATCCAAAAGCAATAAGCCACCCATTTGAATCATGTTCTTGGGCCGTTTGAAGATCCAAGAATGTATAATTTTATAATGAGCTGTAAGTCATTCCGCAACAACTAACTCACCATTTTAAAAGATTTCCTTGCAGTCAAAGAAAGGCATTTGCAAAAAACATGCATTGGCTGCCAGAAATTCTGAAACCGGCCTTTTGTCATCATGGTCAGCTGCCGCAGCCAAAGAATTGTTCTGGTTGGACGCTCTTTGGCTACCTGATCTCTCACAACTGGCCTTCTTTCTGCAGATGCGCTTTCCCGGGGCCGGCGCTGGCATCATCATTCGTTCAGCGTGCAATCCGTTTGAATGTGCAACAGCCAACTTTAGACGCTTGTTCTTGCGAAGTTTCCGCCAGACCTCAACGCCGGGAGCACGGCTGGGTGGTCTTGTCTTTGCGCATCCAGTCATTGAATGCTAGGCAGCGGGCTTTCTCATTCTCAACCTTTCTCCGACAGCCTCCCTTGAATTGCCATTCGCTCTGAGCTGAAGAAGCTTGGCTCACTGCTAGGCAATGGTTTGTGTATGACTCATGCAAAGCGCCAGAATCTAAAATGGCCGTCGCAAACTTGATTGGAGTGTCCTGACTGACCGTTTCTTAACCCCAGAAGAGAATTCCGCCCATTGATTTGAGCATTTGAAGCGCTCATCACATCTAGCGCAGTCAGCCATGAAGCGCCACTTCTTTCCAAACAATCTGATGACAGGATCAAAAAGTCGAACTCCACATGCTGACACATTTGCACAAACAGCTTGTACTTGTCGATGAAGTCACGCACTTCTACCATAAACCATGCCCCCGCTGAACAAACAGATGTTTGCGTCTACTCAGTCTAGACTCTGCTCTAGCCAAGCACCAACGAACCATGCCCTCAGCCCTTCGCCTTTTGCACCTCCCACTTTCGGGTCCCTTAGCACATCAGGACAAATTAATTTTGGAACTTCGGAAATTGGACACGCCAAGTCTGGCTGTCGCCGATGCTGCGTAGCTCTCAGCCACCACCCAAATCAATCTAACCCAGGCTTTCATGCCAAACTGCCGGTAAACGCTGCAAAGCGGCAAGGACTCAACATTTCCACACTGGAAGACACACATTGCTCCAGACGCATCGATCGCAAAGTTTGGCCAGGTTGGATCAGCGTCCCAGCCCAGGTAACCATCCTCCCCACT